AGCATTGCCACGTTGAATGGCAATGCTTATTTTCTGTCCGAAGAAATAGCCAGCCCTCTGATCACGTGTAGAGTCGATTAGCCTATTTGATTAGGTCTATCGTCTATTATTATATCTACTAGGTACTACGACATCAAAAGTCAAAGTTAAAATATTTGTCAAATATTTGAACTTTGAAATTGGATGGTTTCAATCAATATCCCAAATGATGGACACAATCCACTAGAGATTGAAAATAGTTCGTGAAGATTTCCACACTATAAAAGTACCAATGTGAAATAAGGTCACATTACGCGATTCTCACGTTCTTCGAAGGGCATGTGGTACGGATTTTCCGCATGAATTTCATTAGTTTAGTCTGATCAAGATATCCAAAGAAGCAAAAAGCTAGTACCATAGCTTATACGGTATGTACGATTGTACGCCTGCAAAAATATCCAAATTGAACTATAGTTATAATTTAAGTCCTACTTTTTTTAATATGTTTCGCCAGCCGGCTCGACCGATACCACGGCCTCACATAAAATCGACGTGAAACAACGCTAGCGTTGCGTTTCGTCGTGTGAGTGAGGTTACCGGAGGCCCAATTACCCTTCCCTTCCCCAATCTCCCCAATTCCTGAATCCCCACCCATCCTCAAACTCCAAATCCCCAAAAGGCCGGTAACGCACTCGCAACGCCTCTGGTGTACAAGGTGTCCATGGGCGACGCCGATTTCTTACCATCAAGTGATCTGTCTGCTCGGTTACCGGCTTATGCCATAAAAAAATTAAAAAAGAAAATGTCTAAAAGCCATGGTTTGATTTAAACATTACCTCACACCACACGCTGGAATTTTGTCCCGTGTCGTGGCCCGGAATAACAATAGCCTTTAAATCATTAGGTACACGAAAACTACGTATAAAAATAAGTCTCAACGTGCAGCACGTTGCAACTAATGAGCGGTGGAGGTAACAAACTGTCTAATACATGTTCCCTTGGCAAATTTATGTGCAATAACAAACTAATACCTCAGTACGGTGGGCGGCTGCGTCGGCGCAACACTGAAAAGCAGAAATAGCGTGGGCGGGATCTTCACAGATGACAGCTATCTGCTCTGTTTATGACTTCCTCAGCCATTGGCCTCGCAGCGCATACAAGTGCATACCTACATAACCTAGGCAAATTGTGCCCCTAAAACTTTTCTTTTCCCCGTTTTACATGCCTGTTGTCTCTGTTCAATTTTCAACATTTTTGGAAATGGTCAAATACACGTCAAATTAAATATTACCTTTGCGCACTTGAAAATGCGGTGTTCTTTATTCCTGTTTCTTATCTATTAAATATTTGAAAACCGTAAATCAAACAGTAATAAGTACCTTCCTAACACTTATGTATTTTATCTTAACTAGCAAGTTGGCCTACTGTTTTACTCTTTACCTACGATCGTGTTTTAGGTATTTAGTAATACTACTTCAATGTAACCGTACCTTTGTTTAGACACATCAATCACGGTTACTGCCTACTACCTTTACGGGTCAACATTTGGGGCGCTGAGCTATTCTAAACAATGGTTAATAAAACCATGGTTAAGCATGCCTAGGCATATATTGTTGTTACTTGGCCAAAATCGACACGTGTAAAGTAGTAGTAGCCTTCAGAGAGTAATATTTAAATCAATTGTTTGAAAAATATTTATGTAAGTATTTCGTTTTGTCCACAAAGCACCTCATGGTATTAAAGAATATAGAAAGGTTGGCACAATTTGGAGCTTAAGTTTTAGTTTTAAAGTCGTTTTAAAGTTTGCGTTCGTTTATATATTTAAAGTTAGAGAGTTTCTTATCTATTGTCTTTGTGGATCCATCATCATGATGATCAGTCCGTTTATGACGTCCACAGCTTGATATATGTAGGTGTGTGTGTGTATTCAAGTGTGGGAGAGCCATGCTTCGGCATGAATGGGCTTGACCGGAGTGATACCACGACCTCACAGAAGACCGACGTGAAACAACGTTGTGTTGTGTTTCGTCGTGTGAGTGAGGTTACCGGAGGCCCAATTACAAACCCCCCCATCTACAACCCCTGAATCCCCAACAATCCTCAAATTTCTAATCCCAAAAGGCCGGTAACGCCTCTGGTGTTCCAGGTGGCCATGGGCGACGCCGATTGCTTACCATCAGGTGATCGGTCTGCTCGTTTACCTTCTTATCCCACAAAAAGAAGGTCTCCCCAATGGCGCACCACTGAGTTCTCCTATCTTCAGTTGTTCGCATTCAGCCACTGCCTATATCCAATCTGCGTACATTACCGTCACAAAATGTCTCTACATTTAAGTGACGTACTTAAGTTATTTCATAAATAGTTAACTAATTCAGTTTACTAGTTTAAGGGTATAGTACCGTCAAAGGTTTTTGAGATTGATGTCCAACTCCAAACTCTTCAATACATCTCAATTTATTTAAACGCCCTCTCTTATCGAATTTATCAACATCAACTTTGAAACAAAACCGACTGGAGTTTAAACAAAAGGCAAAGTAGTAAGTACCTACTTAAACAAGATTGAGTAACGCGGATATAATTGGTTATAATAAACACGTGCCCGCTGTGCCTAAAACCGAAGCACTTGTAGATAAAATAGGTACGTATAGCAACTAATACTTATGGTACTTAAAAATCTTTAACTTATACACATGTACGGCAGACGGGTGACTGTGAAATCTGGCAGTAAATCATTGCGCGCGCGACTATAAAACTTTTTTGTCATTGACATGTCGTCTATTAGTTTTTTAATAATTAAACTTTTAATGTTGTAATGTTTGGTAACTATTTTTGAGCGAAGGTGGAGATTGTCTACCTAAGTACATGTCGGTATAGAATTTTTCTACTCATTTACGTAATACTTACTTATAAATTTAGTAATTTGTTTTTTTGTTGTTGTTTAGTTTAAACAAAAACAAATAGAAACTTCCTTAATAAATAACAAGTCTTTCACAGTTATAATTTAAATAAAACATTACGCAAGACTTTCAAGCACTGATCCCAAAGATATGGTGATCCTACCCAAATAATTATAATTGCATCACTAACAAAATTTCGACCATTTCTACAATACCAGTGGTGCCATATAAATCACAGTGATCGCTATAAAAGTAGATAAGAGTTGAAGCACATAATGTTACTTGCAGCAATTAAGCTGGAGTTGGTATCAGTGATTGTCAGGAGCCGCGATGTTACTAACCAGATGGCGTCGCGCGGAGGGTCTGTCGCAGCAAATACTAGTACTCAATCTGTAATACAAAAGGATCAGTCCATATGTACTGTTACGACGGACAGGCAAATACGCACTCTAATTTGTTGATCTTTATTTAAAGCTTTTTTGCTTATGATTCATTCGATAATTGTTTTCAATCTTAATCATATTATAGGTTGCCGCGGAGAACTTAATGAGTTACCGGGGCTCCGGCTTGAAGTGCAAGAGTAAGAACGGGGTGGTTTTTAGTGAGTAAGAGTCTGACACTCCCTCCTGCCTCACCTAGGCGGGAGAAGTAATTCGATGATATTTCCCCCCTTAAAAAATCATCTTAAGGTTTTAAGAAAGTATAAATTTGCGTAACCTTTTAGCACGTGTCTAAGTTCACCTACCTGTATAATACAGTGCATCATCCTATGTAGAGATATTATTTATTGAATACTGAGTTGTGACGGAAGAGTTTAAAATGCCTTAAAGATTTGAATTCGCAATTGAAATGATTACCGGAAAGTTTAACTATTTAGGTTTAACAGCTAGTTATTGGTTTGAGAATCTAGTTTTAAATAAACTACTCGAATCATCATAAGGTGACTGCTCTGAACCTATAGAAATATCTAAATAGGCGTCTACAGTCTATTCATTCGTGAGTTTAGAATTAGTGTAATAAAAATGTTTTACATTATGAGAACTCGTTCTGAGTAATAAACAAGGAAACCGCTGAAGTTCGCCGAAGCGGTGGTGATTATTTCTCCTCATATTACTTCCCGAGAGTAATCCGTTAGAAATCGATCGACTTTTAGTGGCGTGTCAGTGTTTAAAGAAAAAAACATAATTTATTGTCAGCATTCAGATCGCAAGGAAACCCGAACGAGCATTAGAAAATAAAAAAGTACTAAAATAAGAGATGTTTACGAGCGTAAAATGACGTGAGTCGTGCAGCCACGCCACTTGGGCTGTTTACAAATGTTAGCTGCGCAGACGCACCACTGTTCACTGCGCCATACATAAAGGGTAAATCGTAATTTATTTTCTTTATAGTCGTTGGTCGTCGTCGCTTGATGGGTTTGGTTACCTAGTAATTATCAGGCGCGCGCCGAAAGCTAAACCAATTTGAGTAGTGTCGGCTGCGCGCGCTCAAGTGCGCATTTCATATTGTTTATGTCAATATCAGTTTTTTGTTCGGATATGGGTCTAAACCCAACTATTTATAGCTCTGTAACTCTGTTACCAAACAAAACAGTATAGTGTTTGATATTTGTACATTTTATTTGTATAGTTCGGTATCAATACCTATGTTCATAATACTTATTTTATCTGTCCATGGAATACATGCATGACAGTTATAGAAGTTAGTAAGTTCACGTTTTTTGTATAATAGTCTGAACTTAGGTGGCATCTGATGTCGATATTAGATGCCACATGAAACTAAGAACGGGTGCGGCGATTTGCAAGTAGCGCTTAGAAAGAAGCTGAAATTACCAACTATTGACAAGCTGATGAAATTTTATTAGTAAACCTCTTAAAGTTTAAGGTGGAAATATCGATTTGGTATTACTCCATTACCTCGTCGGTCAAGTGGCCAAGTCATAAATACGATGACTACAAATAGCTCCTCCGAGATATTTTATTATATTTTATGTCTATGTCACTAAAGTACTTTAAGTTACTTTGCTAAGTAGTAAATATTTCTAGTTGCTGCTAGACACCTCATTGTTTCCCTTTATTTTTTTAAGATATTTTACTAACCATAATCATTTATTTTCTTCAACAGAAGCGGTGGGTGCATGCGTCGTGCACACGTGAAGCGACCAATGAACGCGTTCATGGTATTCGCACAAGCGATGCGCAGGCGCCTCTCGGAACAGCGACCAGCGTTACACAACGCAGAGCTTAGCAAGTCACTGGGTTCTATGTGGAAGTAAGTTATTTCAACTTGTATTTATTCGATTTATTCAAGTTATTTGGGTATTTACTTTATCTATTTCTTAATATCATTCGAATGGCCTACGCCGTAGCACTAAGTGCTACGAAATATATGACAGGTATTAGGTATATAGCATTATAATTCTGAATAGGAAGTAGGTTTATGCAAAAACATGTAAACTAAACGATTTATAAACATGATTTGAATCTTAAATGAAGAATTTTGAGAGTAAATGAAATTCATTTTACTTTGTCTAACAGAACTGCCAGTAGAATGTAGACAAATCAGTACTTTCATTCTCCAATACGGTGTAATTAAATCACATTCCTCGAGTCATATCCGAGTGAAGTTGATAATACGAAAATATCAACCACCGATCGGTACTCACGGGCTACGGTCGAAGCTGGCCGGTTGCCGACCGTGGTGCGCGTGCGGCATCCAACAGCGCGGCGTGCATCGATTGTTTACTCATTAAAATGCTATCGCCGCTAACTGCCGCGATAACATCTCTAACTGTTTCCACTTCGGCTCGCTCAAATAGAAAATTGTGGAACAAATTCGCGTTAGATTCATCTCTAACAAAATATGCTGAATATAGCAAAGTACCTGTACTTAATAGATATTTATAGGTTTCAATTTGCAACTGATCTCGTACAATGACATAATATACGTATACTGTCACATTTGTTATTATCGACTTAGAAAATTTTAAGTTTTGAGTTCTGAGTCGGCCCAGATTTTTATAAAACATTCAAATAAAATATTTATAATTAAATCGTTAACATTCACTTGAGTAAGATGAGAATTCTTTGAAACCAGTACTATTTCCGAACATTGAGATCAAATAAGCACTAAGTACTGCTCAAAGATCGTAAAAGCAACTTGTCGTAGGCCACCCGCGTACGGCGCTCGAAACTCCGAGTTTTTGACGAGAATGACACGAGGCACGACTAAGAAAGTAGAAATCAACTATCGAGCGCTGTCATCATTTTAAAATAGAACTTACACAGTAAATAATTATGCTCAAACATGTCTTTCTTTAGTGACAAGTTGGGTTTAGGTTAGGTAGCTACCTACACTAAATTGAAGCCTATGTTTGTTTCATAAATTATTATTGTTAGATTTTTAAGCAAATATCTAGGTACACTGTTTTGTGGTAGTCTTACAATGGCACGCCATTTTAATTAGGCACTAATGTCAAGTAGGTATTAGTAGTTTTAATATAGGCATTAATTTATTACTTATACATATTACATACATATATAACATCACGCCTTTTATCCCCGAAGGAGTAGGCAGCGGTGCACATTATGCCACTGTACGATGTAACACCCACTTTTCACGGTGAGCCTATTGCCATATACCGGACACAATTCCAGACTCCGTGCTTCTTCTAGGCATTAAAAACCCAGTAATACTTTGCCCGACCCGGGAATCGAACCCGAGACCCCTTGCTCGGAAGTCGCTCTCACGACCACTCGGTCAACGAGGCAGTCAGAAATACATATAATAAAGTTGATATCGCACCAAATGCAGCATAGGCGCTCTACGTATTTTTATACTCTTGCAAAGAGAGCAAACTCTCGAATCATCAAAGAAAACAGTCGGTGAAGTGAGCCTGATTGCTTTGTTGTGATTGGTGGGCTCTCTTACACTGTCATCACGCTCACTCGGCTCACTTCTCAAGATGCGGATCCAGATCAAGTTGATTAGCAAAGTCAGAGGTCAAATTCATACTTAGGTATTCAATTACTTGAATATTATGTTTACTATAGGTAGGTCTAACCTACTTATTAAAAAAATAAATACCCACTCCAATATGACGCACAAAACGGCATTGACTTTGCAATGTTACCTTATGTCATATACTTAATTTGGTAATTAATTAAGCATAAGTATGTATGTGTTATTTCACTTATGGAAGTATTTTACCTCTCCTTGACAACTACGCATGTATATTAATCAAAAACCTTCTTTGCAGGAGTCTGAGTGAAGATGAGAAATTGCCGTTTATCAAAGAAGCCGATAAACTTCGGACGCAGCACAAGAAGGAGTACCCTGACTACAAATATCAACCACGCCGTCGCAAGCCTCAACCTACTTCAGCAATCCGACCCAAGAGGGAACCTTCACCAGAGAGAGATCAGATTGACTTCGCTGGCATGCCGGACATATCTCGCGAACTGTTGCCGGATGGCCCGCCGGATAATGCTGAACTAGAACAATATTTAATAAAGCCACCCGGCACAGTACCCACTGTACCCGACTACCACGAGCTTCAACCACGATACACCCACAGCCTCCAACACCCACCTCCGCCTCTGTATGCACCAGTACCACCCCATCTTCATCATGCATGTGGAGCTGATTGGTCACACTACCCGGGACACCCTTAAACCACAAACAAATATCTCGAGAAAGTGATTTCACGTTGGTGTCTCAAAGACTTTTAGTAATAACAATAAGCTTTATCAAAAGATCGGAATATTTTTCGCCGCTCAGTTTTTTTGTAACATATGAAATAGGTCACGTAGCTCTTGTAAATATAATTGGGTAGACATGTAAGCACTATAGGGCACGGCGCGCGGCGCGCACGTGCGTTTAATTTGTGTAAGCTGAATAAATATTTAATAGGTTAAAGTTTGCATAAATTATTATTAAATAATGTTAACTACTGGACCAAATGTTATGTTATCGACAAATCTAAACTACTACCTATAACGTGTATTAGAAATATGTTTTATAATTTGTACCTAAATTTAACTTATTTGTAACAATGTTAAACAGGTTTCTAAGTCTAGTTATGTCCTGTGTCGTGCACTCGTAGCAGGCTGTATGCTTAACTAGCTTATACCCTGATTCATATTATCATATATTATAGCTAAAACTAGGTGTTTTAATGATAACGAGAACAAAGTATCCAATGTAAAAAAAAAACATTATAATTTTATTAATATTATGTCTGTGTATCAATTACGATTATTTGGTACTTACAAAATTATTTGAGTTCCAAAGCTTATGGTTAAGTAGAAATTAAAGCTTAGCATAGGTTATAAATAAAATAAATAGTGACTCTACTATAGATATTTCAGATAAGTTATTATTGTGATTAAACAATTTGTAGTTCATAACAATCCTGTTGTTTAATAAATATATTTTTCTATGTTCTACATTAAGCTTCATTTTTATCAGTCGTATCATCTATCCAATTGTAACAGGTATTAATTATTCGATGCTAGCTCGACACTAGATTCAAAATGAAATTGTTAAAACTAACTTTCCAGCCAAGGAGTCGGTCATAATACCTATTGATAACAGCTATTGCGAAATATAATTTGGGACACGCCTTTGTTGCTCAAAAAAGTAACTATCTCCGATAATTAATTTAAATGAGCAGTCCATATTTCTGAGAAGTGGTGATGTATGCCTACAGGTCCTTGTCGTACGATGCAAGCGAGATAGGCGGCGAGGCGGCGACCCCTACCCGTCCGTCGCTTCCGGCGCACACGCAGCGCCCGAGCAGGTCGCGCACTCTCACCCGCCCCGACGTACAACGCCTCTCTTGTTCTCACCCCTATCTTATCACTCTCACATTTTTCGCGACCGACACTAATGAGACCAATAAACATATCGGCAAATTATGTAATTATAATACTCTAAGAGATATAAGGCTGATTTATTATCGCAGGCGGACTATATGATGTTCCCGATTAAAGATAAACTTGGAATCATCTGCTTCTCAATAAGATGATGCAAGCCATATTAAGGTAATGTAATCGATGGTGACATTAGTTAAAGTTCAATGAAATGTCCACATAGGCCTAGGCCTAATCAGTTAACTTTGTAATATATCAGCGCATGACTAATGTTACAGTTCCGAGATTTTAAACTTCCACAGAAACAAAAACATTATACAAAAAGGTTGTTATGAATTTGTAATGGTGCATCGTAGCTGCAATATTAAGATTGAGTGCAAATGAAGCGCGAGGCGCGTGCGCAGGGCGGCGGCTCGCGTTACACATAGGATACACATGGACCGACTGACGGACGAATGATATCCTATACTTTGACTAACACACTTTTTGTGCACCAACACATAAGATATTAATTACAGAGGCGGAGAGCAGTATGCTCAATTTTACGCTTTAATCTTGTGTTTTTTGTTCTTATCCGTCGACCGGATTCATCACTACATTAATGTTGAACAGAGATGTACGAATCTTCAAAACAAAAAAGGAGAATTCGGTTTAACTCGTCGAGTACCGGTTTTGTAGACACAATTATAGAACAATAGGTTGCGGTCACCGGTGACCGCTTGGTGCTTGACAGTTTAAATTAACTGAAAAAAGAAATGGTGTATCCTCGGAGATCATTTTATAGGCACAGTTGAAGATATACATAATTATTTATCTTATCTAGGACAATTTAGGAGTATGTATATCCTTAAATTCTTAATTTGCAAACACAATACATATTAGCAGACTCACTGAGCAGTAAGATTTTGTGTTTTAATCAAAATAGAAATAAAAATGAAAGTGTTACTCTGACTCAATCATGAAAGTAGCAAAACATCTCTCCACAGTATAAAACTAAACAGTCCAACTCAAGTGGACTCATCGAGCGACATTTCGTGTGAACATAGTCCATCTGTGGCACGCTCACTGTAAGGCGATACCAAGGCGTCTGGTGAACATCGAGGAATCAAATCCTACACTACAATGTAAGTACCCGCTGATACCCACACATGTGGAATCATTCCGTTCAATTATTTCCACTAGACGATCCCTTCGTATGGTTCCAATTGTACCTAAGTACATCATACTTGAGAATATTATGATGGGTACGATCCACCTACCTACCACACAAAAAATTATCGCTTTACACTATCATCTTTTCATCATTCTGAAAAAATTGTTTGATAGGACTACCTAATGATCGTGATTTTCTATGAGATAGAACATATTTACCTGGAGACTAGACTACGCGTAATAATAATAATAATAATAATAATAATCTTTATTGTACACCTTAAAGTAATATAAACATATATGTAGAGTTACAATCAAGAATAGTAGGGCACAAAGGCGGCCTTATCACTAAAAGCGATCTCTACCAGGCAACCTTTGGGTGAATGGAGCACTGAATGATAGTGGAGGTGATTCTAGGCATACTCAGGTACTTACATCACATACCTATACATACACATACATACATACATACATACATACCAACATACATACATACATACATACACACATACATACATACATGCATACATATACATACACACACATATATACATAAGGATATGTAAATAAATAAAAATAAAATATATACATGTCGGCGCCGCCGTCATTATTTTGTAAACCGCGAATGTAATGGGCGAGCAGTGAACAAACAACTGACCGACGTCACTTCAACCCCACCACCGAGTGATATATAAAGCAGCGCAAGCGCAAGCTCGAGTCAGTCGTTCGTCGATCGTTGCCCAGTTCACA